GGGTCAGGGGTAACGTGACTCCCTGAAAATTTTGAAAAGGGCCCCGTAGCCTTTTGTCATAAACTATTTTATTTCCGAAAATGTGACTAATCCCTGATTCACCGTTTTTTTACCTATCAGTTTGGTGAATTGTTATACATTTGGAGAAGAGATTCTCTAAGCCATGTGGTAACCTTGTAAATGGTTCAATAAAACCAATTGAATAAATTAATTCTACTATCAAAGTTATAAATCAATTCTCCTTGTATTTGTAGTAAATTTTATTTATTTACTAGTAAATTGTCATACGTATATCTTACGATATGAAAATACTAATTTTGTACGCGTTGTATGAAGTTGGGATAAAGAACAATTGAGGGATGGAGTGTCGGGTTCCATGGATGCAAGGTTGTTGAGAGAGACTTCGTTGAGCTCGTGAGTGTATGAACACCAGAATATAGGCCAGTTAAATATTAATATGAAAATCTGATTTAAACCCCAGTTAGTAGTGACTTCAGAATTTTGGAAGCTTGACGAAACCTTGGGGAAAGTAATTCAGCAAATTGATGGGCGATTCTAAAGTAAGGAACAAGATATCCGCGGAAGCAGAGAAGGTAACATTTGCCCATTAATTTTGGTTATCATTTCACGGACAATGTACGTGCTTTATGGTTAAACTGGAAGTGTTTTTATTTAAATTAAATCAAGAAAGAGGCCAACGGACAGCGACATTTGGCGAGTGGCAATACAGTTGCAGCTGATTTAGTTGTTGGCACTGGGCTCAGTATATTCGTAATGTAAACATAATAAAGGGTACTAGAGGGGGGGGGGCACGAACCTGCGGCGGCGCGTTGAGCAGCCACTGCAGCCCCACGGCCACCTGGATGAGCACGGCGAAGAGCAGCAGCAGCGCCTGGTAGGGCGCGGGCAGGTAGACGCCGCCGTTGAGGCTGATGAGGAAGACGCACTTGACGAGCAGCGCGGCGAAGACGAGCGCGAAGGCCACGCCCGCGCCGAAGCGCACGGCGCCGCACGTGGCCGGGGTGGGCGTGGCCGCCAGCACACCGCCCACGCACGCGCACAGGAACAGCCCCAGCAGCAGCATCTGGCCCAGGAAGAGGTGCCGCCGCGACGGCGTTGTGCGGCGCGCCTTGCACAGCACGAACACCTGCCACACGCACACACACACGCACATAAATTCCACCGATAGAATACGTGCTCGAGGAATACGAAGCGTAGAAGGATGTATGGACGAAGAAAGATGGACGATATAAGAATGATTTGTTCTTTGGTAATGAAAATATCAACCATACAGCGCTGGAATCTGAAAGAAAATGTGGCTTTATTTATGTGAAGACTGGTCAAGACACTAGTGAAGAAATTTATGTGAAGACAAACCAGACACCTAGATCTTGAAGTGAAGAAGAAAATTGTGTAGAGACGACGTGAAATTCGAATGAAAATAATTACGAAATGCGATGCTATGTGATGATGGGAATCAATGGAAAAGAGGGTTCTATTTGGAGAAAGAGTAGACATTTGTATCTAAACCTTGAAGCAAAGAAGAAGAAGAAAAGGAGGAGAAAGAGAAAGAAGAAGCCGAATATTTATTGAAGAAGAACAATTTGTATTGACGTGAGTGGCACATATTCCATTTGGAAGTCATACAATTGTCTTATTTCAATGTTGTTTCGATAAAATATGGATATTTTCCATTGGACGTATTTTGAAGGTGCTACGACTCCCATAACCCCCTTCAATCTGCCACTGAATAAAGAAATATGGAATGCAAAGCCATGCAGTATTCTACAAAGGAATTCCACAGAGAAGCAAGTAGAAAAATATTCATGAGGCGCTGAAGATTGCAGTAACATTGTTTGCAATAGGATATATTAAGGGTGAATAAACAATTTAATGACAGAATTATTGTACGCAGAATCACTGTTTACAGTAATTTTTTTAAAGTCTGGATGTACATTTTAATTACAGAAAACTGATATTTATTTGAGGATTTATTTTTCATGTTGTCGTCCAATTTTCGTGCTCTGCATTAAAAATATGCATGAATTGTCTAAAAAACTTACTACTCCCAGAGTGCTTTGCTCATTTCTTCGATGTATGTAAGAGGTCCAGTTCTGAAATGAACTCTGTCGAGAGAACTAGATGGGTAGTCAAGTCAAAGTAGGTTGCAAGTTGAAGATATCAGATTGAATAAAATATACATTCAAAGAAAAGAAATAGTCCGAGAGGTTACTAACCCCCAAATTTTACAGTTGGTAAGTTCAAACCTCCTTTAATGAAGACTGAAGTTCTTTATATAAGAATATCCGACACTTTCACACTAGTGTTACTGTCGATTGAAAAATAAGATAATTTCAACATGACAAACGTTTACAACACGGTGAGACTGACAGAGATCTCGACACATATCATGAAATTTGCCTCTTGTTTTCATCTCAACAGATGCAAGATAAGAAAGGAAACACCTTCATTGTTCACGGATTAAACACAAACAAACATTATGCAACAGCTCCAGCCACATTCCACATGACTCACACGACTTACAAAACATCGTCACCCTGGTGTCTCAATGTCTGGCCGGAGCGTCTAGCTTAACGACGGCTTCAGAGCTTTTGCTCCCACACTTCCTACTCACTCTCCACTGCTCTTCTCATGAGAAAAGGCGTGACGGTGTAATGAAGCAATTGGACGAGCTCACGGAGGCCGCCAAGTCAGGAAATGGTTCTCTAGAGCGGGGAATTTCTCCGGATATTCGCGTTTGGGTTTCTGATTTCCTTTCGCGGAAAATAACGGAAACTTTCAATTGGAAACAAGGTCGCTAGTTTGGTTTACTCTGTAACAATAATAGTTTCTTAAATTTCTTTCTGTAAAATGATTTAGCAATAGCTTTATCAGTAGAATTCCTTAAAGAAAGTCGAGCGTTTTGTAACAACTACTGGCTGTGAGAGACAATGAATCTAACGACTCGTAACTCTTAATCGCAGATCAGGCAACACCAGATATGTGAGTTTGTATACTTCATAATGTAGAACGATTTCACATTGTGATTCAAGTAAGCAATCACTTGGCTCATAACGGAAGGTGATTAACGCTGTTAACAAACGGTGATTGAGTGTAGTTTATATACTCTCGAGATTCCTCAGACGTATTACACAGAAAATACCAATGTGATCCAATCAGCGCTGTTGTATCTATGCGTCCCGTGCGAAGGGAAGACAGGAATATTGAACGAGGACTAGTGCGGATCGCGACCCGAAGTGTAGAGTGGAAGGTGGAGCGGGATGTAGATCGCGGGTATGACCGGCTTGCAGTGCTGAGATTGGAGGAATTCCATTCATTAATGATTCCGGGAGCGTCAACGGCTAAGGTCATTAGCCCCGTAAGTATAGTGTATATTTTTTGTCCCCCAGCGTGGTACCGCCCCCACCGAAAGAAGCTCTCTGGTGGTCGGTGGCCCGTTTGTTAGGGTACTTCCCCGGCAATTGCCTGGTATTGATCGCAGAAACCAGGGAAAACGACCGGTTCGACCAGCCGGCCTCTAGAGTCCTTCTCCCAGACAGTGGCTGAATTCGAAGCATCTACTCGTATAAAACTAGTGGTGAAAATCTTCGAGCCCTAGGACTTCCGGGTCAGACAGTGCCGTGCAGTGCGTTGCACCGACATCAATTGATGCCCTGAGCCACCTAAGCCGGTTGGGAAGCACTCGAGGAACGTAAGATAGAGCGTGGTGGACAGTGGTGAGGGGGGGGATCGTGGGGATGCGGGATGCGGCGTGGGGCGGCGGGCGCGAAGCGCGGCCGCGGTCGCGAGGCGGCGGCGGTGCGCGGGAGCGCAGGCGGGTGCGGAACTCGGCGTCGTGGCGGGGTGGCGAGGCGGGCGCGGCGCCCGCGCCCCAATCCATCACCGCCGATAGCTGGCGCTGATTGTGATTTAATACGGGTTCCGGGCGCCGCAGACAAATTGCCTGCGTGGCAACGCGCCGCCTCTCGTCACGCGCCGTCCGGCCCCGCCGCCAAGAAGTGAGGACGGAGGCGGGGCGGAGGCGGAGGCCGGCCGGGCGCGGAGGGGGTGTTTGGGACGGGCGGCGTGCACCGGGGAGCTCGGAGCCAGCGTTCGGAGGCGGGCGGACTACGATACGCACGGGCGATTGCGCCCGGGAGGCAGATGGTTTGTTACGAAAATTCCAGGGAGCATATCGGTCTGTTCCGGTTCTTGTTGTTGTTGAATTACACGCTCGTTTTTTGAACGTACGATTCCGATTACCTCCCCCAACTATTTATGATGTGGACCAAAATATGACTGACGCAGAGTTAATAATAGAAAATTTCGTTTTCGGCTTCCGCGTCTCGAGTTCATGACTTCCTGTCTGTGCGGGTGACGTCGCGTCGTTGGCTGAAAAGCCAAGACCGTTGGTCACTCAGCTACCGACGGGGCGTCACCCGGACAGCGAAGAAGTCAATAGAGAATTTTGCCTTACAAGGTATTCAACTGACCGTTCAAACAATCGATCGCTAGACGTGGCTGTAGAATAACGGCCATTTCCCAAAACGATGTAATATATCTGTAACTGAGGTTTCTGGTCGGTCGCCAGTCCAGAGGAAAATCAAAATAAAAGATACGTTCGCGTTACAAATGCTAACCACATTTCCAAGCAAGGACATGCGACCTACAATTTCTATTTTATGTCTGTGCGTGTGTATGAGAAAGGTATATGTGGAATTTATGCGTTCGAGTGAAAGTAAGTAAAATATTTGGGTCAACAATAGTGATGTTAATGGTTATTTTCAAGAGCAGCAGTGGTGATGTAGACACTTCAAATAAGTGTCAATAACGTAATGCAAAATTATAGGAAAAAGTAGCAGAAGTAAAACATTTAGCAAAACTAACTGCAATTTGTGTAGAAGAGATAGATTTTTGCCATTGGAAGGCAGGGATATAGTTACCAAAGATATAAATGGTCAGTCTGACTCGGCTGTAGATTGGGTGAGAGTATTTGGGACTGCCTTCAGTGGGAGTGGTTGATAATGGAAGGAAAAGACGATGCGCAGAGTTGCAGAGATAAAGACGTTTAATATTCGTAGTAAAGAAATTGATTAGATGTAGACTACGGCGGCGTAAGCAGGATCGATGTACGGAGTGGAGAGGTTATAGGCAGGATAATTGACTTGATGTGTCAGGGATGTGGAAGTTAGACGTTATTGGTAACAAAGCCAAGGTGGCACCTGTGACGACGAAATGAGAGTAGGGTAAATGACCACAATACGTCTAAAACACTATTCTTGTCTAAAATGAAATGCGACGCACAAAGAAGTGTAAAACACGGTATTTTCGTACATATTGTGCCAATGTAGGAATTGGGGTGGATGTGGTTGTAATTGATGGTGATGAACTGGAAGAGATGTACAAGAGTGTACGTCACTAGCTGCATTTCGAGAACTGTGAATCTGGCGATGGAAAAAGGGGGCGTGTGTCGAAAATGGTATTGATGTTGGCGCGAGGCATGTCCGTTCGCTGCAAAAAGGGTTTCGCTTGTTTATCCAATGAAATTGCAAGAATTTGTGGAAAGTTTCCTCATGTTAATTTTGTAAGTGTTTCTGGTATTTTCCCCGATGCAAAGCACAACTTCATTAAGTAAAAATGACTTTTCATATGTATTTTGGGTGATAAAACACTTTTTTACCGCAATTTCTTTCACGGGTAAATGAAGAATACTTTAACTGATTTGATAATTCACAATAATATTACTTTCGATGATGTGAGTAACAAAATATTGCACGTTGTATCTCTCTGGAGAAAATGAAGTGGCTATATTATAATTTCTCTGGAGAGAGTTTGCTTTTCTCTCGCACGAGTTGCATGTTAATTATTGATACGGTAGGCTAATTTACAGCTCTTAATGAACACTTAAGATGCAAAAGTTTTGCATGAGTACTCTACCATACGCGATTTATGCGTTTAAGTGAAATTGGAATTTCGACAATAATATCGATAAAACATTTTTGTCAGTGAGAAATTACCTGCATTATTGCATATTGGTCGAGAATAGCATGAATGATGACCACGAACTAATTATTTGATACACCATAATAAGAGGAATTCGAGAGGTGTATTCTTCTGAGTTAAAGTAATAATGTACCAAACAATTAATGAAATTAATTTTGATATTCATTTAACTTGAAAGGCGTTGTGCATGTGATTAGAAGAATATTTAATACGCTGTAAGCAGCTTTCTCCGTCATGATCACAACGACAGGATTTAAAAAATATTCGTTTAATGTGAATTACGTGAATTCTTACAGTGAAAGTGAGACGTGTTCGGTGGAAATGGAATGGAGTAATTCACTCCATTGACTCAGTGAATATTCTTCTACTGTTAAATTGTGTGGATATTTACGCAAATCATGATTTTTCGAACTATTTGACAGCAAAAATCAAAATATCAAAAATGATAATGTGTGTGTTTTATGTGAACATGGCTCACCTCTTGATAAATCACTCTTCCTCCTTGCTTCGTACAATGCTTGCGATCAGAGACACTCACCTCGAAGCCTGCGATGACGACCATGCAGAGCGTGGAGAAGACGAGCAGCGGGATGACCCAGGCCTCGCGCCTCAGCAGGCCCAGGCCCTTGCCGGCCAGCGCGTGCAGGCCGGGGGCGCAGCGATAGCGAGCGGTTGCCCGCCGGCAGCAGGGCCACGTCCGCGGCGCGGCCGCCCGGCCCGCGCGTCACCACCACCACGGCGGGGTGCGCGGGCGGCGGCGGGGGCGGCGGCGGCGGCCGGTCGGGCACCAGGAAGAACTCGTGCTAAGCTCGAGGCGCGCGGCGGCGAGCCGGCGGCGGCGCCGGGGCGGCGTCGGGGCCGGGGGCCGGGGCGCGCGCGGCGCGGCGCGGAGACGCCGCCTCCCGAAGGGTCCGCCGCCCCCCGCCGCGGCGCCCGCCGGCCCAGCAGCGGCGCCGTCGACCAGCAGCAACAGCAGGGCAGCGGCGTCGGGGAAGAGGAGCGCGGTGGCTCCATGTGCTCTCTGGGACGCGTCGGCACCCACTGGCACTGTCGTCATCCAGGCAGCCCCGTCGCGCACCCACGCCTCGTGCTGCGCGGCTGCTGCTGCTGCTGCTGCAACACGCCGAGCGTTCAGCCACGCCTGCCCACACTCCACCGCTCGCACGCGCGCAAGCCGACGGACTCCCACCGCCGCCGGTCACGCCCCCGCGCGCCTCCCCACGCCACGCCACGCCACGCGACGCACGGGAGTTGCGGGAGAGTCAGAGGGGCAGTTGCGACAAGGGGCGCTTCACAAAGGTTACTCTAATGAAGGAAACGGAGTCGAAGTGGCCGCTGTAGCGTAATAGGAGACGATATTTTTCTGACGAGGCCAGCAGTGATAATGCTGATGGTGGCTACTTACATCGGTTGGTTGTAACGACGGCTATGTGAGAAAACGGTGACGGAATGTCTGTGACGACAGCTAGGGCATGTGGTGTCGATGGTGGCAGCAATAAGGACAGCAGTGGTGAACGGCGTGAATGTAACTACAGCCTTACTAATGGCAATGATGCATTGGGGTGGCAATGGTAAGAAAGTAGAAGCGATTGTGACACGAGTGGTAGTCAACATCAGAGAGCAGAAAGGATGAGAAGGTGGCAGAAGATTAGATTCGATTTGATTTGATTTATTCAGTTAAAACAATTAAAAACTCTATGTGACGTAGGGGGAAAATATTATCTGCGCACGTTTCCTTGAGTTCCAGAATCCCTTCCCGTCATTTTAACTATAAATAGTAGAAAGATAAGTAAAAGTTTAACATAAATAAATAAAAATCAACTTTAAAAATCGCAAGATTAGCTATATTTGAAAAATAGTCAGTTTCGTTTCTGAGTTGCGGTTGCGGGTATGGAAGTGGAAGCCAATGAGGTGGCGGGCTCAGCAGTAACGTATACGTTTCTACAGCAACCATCCCATATCTACAAACTTGGCCACCGTTGAAGGGAATTTCTGTTACGTGTCCACAGTGGCCTGTGGTGTACGGTTCAGATCACTCACTTTATATCTCTGGGCACTGGGGTTAAAATCTCGTTTGGTCCTTGTGGAATTTGGGGCGTGCAAAGCATGTTCGCTGCAGTTTGTTCTGCGTTTCTCCAGCCTCTCACTGCTACAAGTTTATTTAAGTCATGCCATCGCTCTATCAATGGAAACTCATCTCAGGTATGTCCGAAAATGTTAGGGACTGAGGATTCTAAGAATGACATGCGTTCTCAGTAATGCAGAAATAATCTTATCGCGAGTGCAACTTATCACATTGACTTATTAATTCAGAAAGAAGAGCAATAATGGGAAATAATTCTTCAACCGCATTGAATAAGCTCAAGAATGCTTAAATTTTACAGAAGAGCCAAAAAATCAACTTTTGCTGTTGTAAATCAGAGATTAATAAATTCAAACAAACCTACACATAAATAGTTTAGTTTGAATGTCATTAATCCCTGATTTACTTCAGTTAAAAGAGGTTTTTTGGTCTCCTGTAAAATTTAAGCATTTATGGCTTATCAGCTTATTCACCGTGGTTAAAGAATTAATCCTCTGCATGCTTGTCATCCCTCCATAATCTATGACGTAAGCCAAACTCCCTGTTATTATGTGGGTACTTTGACGTGGCTGGTGGCTGCGGTTGCGAAGGTGACGGAACTGGTGGGCTCCGATGGTGAGACGGTAGCGGTGGCTGCGCCATTGTGGAAGGGGGCGGCGGAATGGCAGTAGTGGTGACCAAGACGGTGGGCGCGAGGACAGTGAGGGAGGCGGGGGAAACAACGCCGCTGCAAGAGTCGATGGCGGCAGGAACGGCGGGCGACAGCGGTGGCGTCCGCGTTGGCTGTAGTTCCGCCAAAGGGCGACCGTAACCGAGTACCGAAGGTGGCTGCCGCGCGAGTTCAAAGAGGGAGCCCGTAAAAAAGTGTTTACGCCGCGATGTCAGGGCCGGCCACGGGCGCTGCTCCGACGCACGTGTCCCCGGGTGGCCGGCCTCGCCCCTCCGCGGCGACCGAGCATAGACACGGCGAGGAAGTGCATTACGTGCCACCGCCGACTCCGACACTTCATGTGCAGTGGTCAGCGCTGGTTGGACTGTGCGATATGGTGTGTGTTGGAAACTACCAATCACCACAAGAACTACGTTAAAGCACTAAAATCTCCATTATGACTTCAATTGGAATCCAAAAGGTAGATTCAACTGAAGGACTTTGTAGAACAAGGAGCTATCCCAAATTTACCTAGTTTTGGGTCATTGAGAGTTTTACTAGAACTTTCATTATATAACTCAATACATTTTAAAACTTTGACACACAGCTCACTAGCACTAAGTCCATACTACATTTAAAAAACACATACACTAAAATAATATTTGAAGTTATATTTAACGCTAATAGTTCAATTTCACCAAAAATGTGGGATAGGCCCATGATCTCCTGATCCCAACTCCCCAAAGGATATTCAATGGGCGCGGTCGTTTACGTTACGCTTCGCTCTGCAGCTGTAGTCGCGAGCCAGCGCAGACTAATCCACCTGGGTCGCTTATCCACAATCGACTTTTCTCTCGATCCACTGCGCTACTAGAACTTTATCGCGAGATGTGAAGCCCTAGAATTTACGTTTTATTTTCACTGCAAATATTGTTTAGGCCTGCTCTTGAATTATTATTCATATTCTTCAAGCTATAATAATTATTACAATTATAGCGCTAAAATCACAGTTTGATCGGGATTGTACAATATCAGAAGCATTCTATTTAACAGTGAACATTTGATGTTATTCAAGGACAAATTCTCAAATGTTTTTGAAGGGTAAAATATAACTTTCCATTTATTGAGAATTGAGGTTTCCTTGATATATTTTCACGAATAAGTACCAATGTCATCTGTAAATACATTCATAATGTGGAGATGTAAATTATAATCTACCTTATTTACATAATATCATAACAGTATAATATCATACGGTATTGATAAGAATATTTTGTCAATAAACACAAAGAAAATAAGTTGATAATTATATAATTCTGCAGAGTATTAGGTGTTTATTGTTGACATTGTTGCTTGTGCAATAAATCCTGCATCATTTAAATATAATATTTTTTCTCAATGAAATAAAATGTAATACTTTGAAGACAGAAATTATCGGTGTTAACGTCAATTTTTGTATTCCAATTCCGATTTATTCAGACTTCACATGAAACAAATGTGTCAAATCATAAATGGAACTGAAAAAAAGGGTGAACCATATACTGCTTGAAAATATTTTATTTAAAAGACAATTGATTTAATCTAGCTTCTCGTATATATTTCAAAGATATTATTTAACGCATATGCAATCATTTAATAGTTTCATTAAAGTTGGAGGTTTTGTTATATTTAAATACAATAAAATGAACAATTCGCACGAAATAAAAACCTGAAAACGTTTTTAGATAAAATAATTGAGTATCAGGTTCGGATTGTATCGTTAGGCATGTATAAAGAATACATCGCAAATAGATATGATAGTTATTTTAAAAAAGAATGAATAAATTATGTGATTATTGATGAGCATATGACTATAAGTGAGCGATTATGTAAGCTTCTTCAAAATATGTTCTCATGAGATTGTGGATCTAATTTAATACCACATAAATAAAAATTACGACCCATTTTTACGGCTGAACTTCTGATGCAAAAACTCCTGCGTTTCCAGTAGAAGGCGTACAATTTCCTTTCTGCGTATCGCTGTAACTAAGTTTTCTTGAAAATGATTCATTTCACGATTAGAGCGCACAATGCGCAGTAACATTATGTCAGAAGAATGTAATTCTGACGTAATGCGTGATCGCAGAAAGAGAAAGCGAAATAGTCTCTTATCGCCGGAAACAATTGCTTGGACGCTACGGACATGATGTTGGCTCCGCCGCGACCGATGTAAACTTGGGTATGTAGTAAAACGGTAGTGGTGGACAAGTGGACAGGCAGCGGTGTAGCTAACTGATTAGGGCACGGTTTTGTGCACATGGATGTTTGACCTTAATTTCAACGATTTTAGTGACACGCTTATTTTTAGTGATAACGTATTCTATTTATTTAATTAATTTCTCAATTATTTCAAATTTCAATTATTATTTTTCAGTTATTATATTCCATTAATCTATTTTTACCATATAATTCAAATCGGATGGCAAAACCTTTCAACTATTCATTAAGTGCGCCACACGCAAACGGCAGGTAGCCATCAGGGAAGCGCTGCCTAGCCTCAATTTTACCCCCGCCCACCTATTGCAAGCACCTTGTTGGGCGGAGAAAAGAGACGGAGATCTGGAACGTGCCCCCCTGACAAACCCCGCCCTCCAGACTTGCGCTTGAGTCGTCATCAACGAATAAATCATCGACACGCCCCCTTGTCTGTTTAATTCAAGCAACTCTTTAACACCCCCTTTCTAATAAAACAAGTGGGAAATTTTTGATCGAAGTCGGTCGAGTAGTTTTTGTGTATAATGCGACTCACATTACCTTTATATAATGTGTATATATATATATATTATATATATATATATATATATATATATATATATATAATATATAGAGAGAGAGAGAGAGAGAGAGAGAGAGAGAGAGATTTGTACAAAGTTATTCTTTATAATTAAAGTTTTAGTAAATCTGGAAGAATTTCTTTTGGGGGAGGCAAGAAGATGATGCGCTTAGAGGCCTTGGGTCATCCGCGGTCGCGGCCGAGACTGAGCAGCCCTGCTGCGCCTCTCGGGGCGAGCGAGGAGCGAGAGGCCCTGGAG